CACAATATACTCCCATCACATTTCCATACTCTATTTCACCTTGTTTACATCATGCATATATTACTTTTCTGGCCAATGTATCAAGTGTTCAGGAGCCGCATACTTATCATCAAGCATGTAAAGATCAACATTGGGTGAAAGCCATGAATAGTGAGTTGAAAGCATTTGAGGACAATAATACTTGGGAATTGACTTCCTCACCGGCTGGGAAATAGGCCATTGGGTCTAAATGGGTTTATAAAGTCAAGCTGAATCTGGATGGGACTATTGATAGATTCAAGGCACGGTTGGTCGCAAAAGGTTATGATCAAATGGAGGGAGTGGACTTTTTTGAATGTTTTTCCCCTGTGGCCAAGTTAGTGACTGTGAGGATTTTTCTTGCGGTTGCTTCAGCAAAATATTGGCCCATTCACCAGCTAGATATTAATAATGCGTTTTTGCATGGATGTCTTGATGAAGAAATATACATGGCTCCACCAACTGGATACACACAGGCTTTGAAGGGGCAGGTTTGTAAGTTGAAAAGAAGTCTGTATGGTTTGAAACAGGCTTCACGTCAATGGAACATTGAACTCACTCATAAGCTCACTGATTACGGTTTCACTCAATCACAGCATGACCATTGCCTCTTCATTCATCAGTCTTTTGATCACAGTGTTTATCTTTTGATATATGTGAATGATATACTAATCACCGGAACTCATGAGTCAGACATAATCTCAATTAAACAATTTTTGCATTCCAAATTCACCATTAAGGGTTTGGGTTATGCAAAGTTCTTTTCGGGGCTTGAAATTGCTCGGGGCAAGGATGGAATGTATGTTAATCAACGAAAATACATTCTGGACATTATTGCTGATGCAAGTCTAGCTGGTGCAAAACCTGTTCGAGTTCCAATTCCTAAAGGTACGAAGTTGTCTCAAAACAATGGTGCTCTCTTTCCTAATCCAGCCCAGTATCGACGGTTGATTGGCAGACTTCTATATCTGAATTTAACACGGCCGGATCTTACGTACGGGATACAACAATTGAGCCAATTTGTCAACAAACCTTGTCAGGTCCATTGGGATACAGCATTGCACCTACTGAAGTATTTGAAGGGTTGTCCTTCGACTGGTTTGTTCTTTCCAGTTCAGCGGGACCTTTCTTTAACTGCCTACTCTGATGCGGATTGGGCCTCTTATGTTGATACTAGAAGATCTCTTACTGGATTTTGCATCTTCTTGGGCACTACTCTGATCTCCTGGAAGACGAAGAAACAAACCACTGTGTCCAGGTCCACAGCAGAGGCTGAATATCGTAGCTTGGCAGCCACAGTTTGTGAGCTTCGCTGGATCAGCTATGTACTTGCAAATTTTCAGTTCAACCTACCTCTGCCGATTCCGTTATGGTGTGACAATAAGTCTGCCCCTCATATTACAGCAAATCCCGTTTTTCACGAGCGTACCGAACATCCCTAAATTGATTGCCACATTGTTCGGGACAAGTTCAAAGAAGGTTTTGTTCTTCTCAATTTGTCTCCTCTTCTCATCAACTTGCAGATGTTTTCACTAAGGCTCTTCCACCTCCTCAATTTCATCTTCTTACTGGGAAGCTTGGTCTCAAGGATCTTCGCCTTGTTCCAGCTTGAGGGGGGATGAAGAATTTATATTTCCCTCTTTCTTTACACGTGTTTTTACCTTTATTTTAGTTAATTAATTAGTTTGCCAGGTGTCACTTTCTTATTGCTCATTTTCTGTATAAATGGATTGAACTTTCTCTATTGTAATGACCATTTGACAAAATAATATACCAGTGAAAAACGCAGCATTCTTAGCTGCAGAAATTGAGTTCATAGAAATTCAATAGTATGCCATTTGACTGAACTCCGGGCCTTAGGGTGAAAATCTCTATGTTCTTTTAATTTACTTTGTGTTTTTCAAAACATTTTACCAACATCGCCTCTTGCCTAATCTGAACTTGCGTGCCATAATAACCACACGTTTAACCAGTAATTTGAATTACGTATGCTCAAATATTTGTCATGTTACAAATGTTCTTAATTACTTCAATTTATTAGAAATACAAAAATCATCCAAGTTTTTAATCTTTTATTTTTGTACCCATTGACTTCTCAATAAACGAATTTGAGATCCCTGAAGAAACTTTTTTTGCCGGCAATGGATTCAGATAGACAATCTAATTAATATTCATACACCAAATGACTAATAAAAATTAAAGGAGCCTTTCTTCAAAAAATTAACAATCAAATAAATAAAAGCAACAATTTTTTTTTTTGAATATGTGCTCTATTTAGATTTTCATGCACAAAAAAGCTCGACGAGTGTAATTGAAGAAACAAAGTACATCTTTTCCTCAATTTTATCCGCTAGAAAGAGAATAGTTTTTAAAGTCAAAATTACTTCCAATTTGTCAAATCAAAAGTCAAACAAGTAATTTTATTAATTTAACATTTAAATAAACAATCGAATATTATGATTTAGGATATTAAACGAGCCAAGAACATGTTAAGAGTGAAATATGCATCTCTCAGAAAAGGAAAGAAGTAACAAAATTGACATTTAAAAATAAATTATCATTTATAAAATCTGACTTTAAATTGCACCTGTTTGACATGAGTACTTGTCCCCGGAAAACTTAAGGATGTCTTCACGCGAAATGTGCTATGTTCTTAACTGCTTTGCATTTATCATCAAGAAAAGAAATATGGTCCCATTCCCTCGAAAACAAACACGTATTTGACTTACTCAAGAAGCCCATAATAAGATATTATAAAATGTTTGGTATTACTACGTGTTTGCGTTATCATTTTGTCTCTTATTTGTCCCTTCTATGTGTCGTATGGGAGGAACCGTGTAGCTATTAGTTACAAATTCTATTATAATTTCTAAAATAATTAAAAAGTATAAGAGCAAAAGGAAAAGGATGATAGAGCCTATTTAAAGCTACATGTTTAGTCATGTTCGTTTTTATTTGAGTTTTTTTTTTTTTTTTTTAGAGAAAATGTGTGTTGAAATAGTAATTTTTTTAAAGAATGTACTGTTAAAAAATAAAAAAAATATTTGGATTAACGTGTAATATTATTTTATAAGAAAATGTGTTATTGAAAATGGGTTTTGAAAAAATATACTACCCTTGTCCCATAAAGATAAACTTAATTTTGTTTTTAGTTTGTCTCAAATTATAGATCACTTTCTTTATAAAAAGTATAGGTATTTTTTAGTTTTCTAATACACTCATATTTAATGTATCTTATTATCAACGAATATAAAATAATCATATTTAAACCATTATTTAATGTGTGGGTAAATTAGGAAAAATGTAAGAAAAAAATTCAAATTTTCAACTATATTAATTATATTTTCTTAATCTGTGTGGACATATAAATAAATCTATCTTTATGGGATGAACGTAGTATTTTTTGAAAAATAGAGCCCAAACAAGAGCTTAGTCCTAAATTCTTTCCAAACTTTGTGTTCCACAAAGCTCCCAAGATTTTGTCTAGGATAAATCGAATACAAAATAGTTGAGAGCTAGAAACTATCGCCAAAATTAGGATGTTTTGCTACCACCAAACCACGTATTTTTTTATGAAAATGAAGCATTCTTGTTTTCATCGCTTTATTTGAATCTTTTGCCTATATATATATATATATATATATACACGCCCACAATTTTCCACCTAACAATGTCTGATGAATAAATTGTTCTGAAAGTTTTAATTTGGACCATGCTTTATCCTTTAAGTGAAACAAAATGTTGGGCCTGTAATAAAAGATTACATAAGTGCAATTTTTTGGGTTACTCGAAGAGGGATTGAATTATGTTGTATATATGGCTCATATAGAATGAAACACAAATTTATTGGATCAAAATGATCGATGTCGGAGCGGAGTGGAGTGAGGGGAGCGAAGTGATGACATCGGTCTTGTGGGTTTAATTCACTGTTTGTTTGCCGAAACGCTAAACAGGTTGGGAGTGCAGGGGCAACGCCCTCATAGTACATAACATGTTTATTTTTCTTATTTTTCTTGTATGGGTCCTACAGTCTTGTATGTGCTTGAACTAGAATCAGTATAAATACCGATGATATAACCCTTTATTCATACTGAATAAAAAATCTTCACATCGTCAAATCACGTTAAATACTTGTCTTGATTTCTCTATTTCACTTCTCTATTATTTTGCATTTAACATCCATCAAACCCCAGGCTGGGAGCCATGCGTAAAATAAGTCAAATTTTAATTAATACATGTCTTAATATCAAGTAAATTAATTAATTCGAATCTGATCTTTCATCATTTTATCCTAGGAAGACAATCAAACGATGTTGACACTGAATTTTACACTTTCAAGCCTTGAATTTCAAGAAGAGATCATTTTATCCTAGGAAGATAATCAAATGATGTTGACACTGAATTTTACACTTTCAAGCCTTGAATTTCAAAAAGAGATCATTTTTTGGCATCACATAGAAAATGGTTTGAATACAATGTTCATTATTTGTAACTCGATTAATCTGAAATACATGCACAATTACATATTCATACATACATACATACATACATATGGAGGTATTTCAATTCTTTTGGACATGTTCGAGTTCGACCACCCACGAGCCAAGAAAAGTAAAAGTAGGCACATTTCGAACGTTAATCATATTGAATCATCAATATGTTTAAATATAATGAAACCTACTCATTCAACTTGTGTATGAAGGAAAGGTCAATTAAGCTTTGACTTTGGCCCGCCAATTAATAGCCTTTGAATTTAAAATTTAAAACAGAAAAAATAAATATACTCCTATATAAAAAGGATAGAAATTAATTAACAAAATTAAATATGGTATTCATGTGATTCTTCTCAACATCAAGTATAGGGCACACACTGTACACCATCTTCTCTTCTACCCGAAATTTTCACAATAACGTAAATATTCTATATTTAAAATTTTAACGAGCTATAATAAATTTTGTCACGTCATTGATTTTTGAACTCTTCAAACTTGAGGCACAAAATCAATGGAGGCTGTCACGGCCACGCTACCATGACTTTTGCAACTTAACACCCTTAACAAATCATGACCCCAAGAATTTCTCCGCTCGTTCCGGTTGACAGGAGCCTTCGTGCTGGTCTCAATAGCCGGAAACATACTCCCTGGATTATTCCGGCGAACCTGCCGGCTTTTTATATCTTGTAGATCCATCTCCGGTGGAAATTTCACTAGGCCAAACATCAAAATATGCCATCTTGGTTTCGATACCTTTGATCCCGGGACATCAGATTTTGTCGAACTCTTGGATGAACTTCTTTGAATTTCCGAGTCGTCAGATTTCATTACCAAGCTTGAATTACGACGTAGTTTTCTGTAATCTAAAGAGCGGCTGTTTCTCATCAACTTCTTCGTTTTGTGCGATCTTGTGTTCTGATCAGACAATGATTCGCACCTTCTTGTAGTAAAAGTCTTTAAGCTATTATCATCTGAAGAAAGAGAATTGTGAACACGATCCTTGAAAAGAGGTCGTTCTTTGTAGGGTACGAGTTTACCACAGAAAATGATGTCTTCTGCATGGGACATGTCGGAGCTAACATCACTAAAGAACTCGAAGAAATCCGAGGGTTCGGACGATGATCTTCGATCTTGAATCTTGGGAAAATCCTTCCTTTCGGGTTCGTCAACATTTAGAGGAAAATCACAAAGAGAAAGTGTCTCTTCCGCTTCTTCTGTTGTATCTACTTGATCTGGAAAACTTGCAGAATCATCCATTTTCAGAGAAAGAAAATTGGGGTAGCTATGGAGTGAGAATTCTATATATAATTATCTAGATTAAGATATTTATAAGGTTGATTGAAAGGGAAAGATAGGGAAGGAAATTGAGAAGGCCGGTTCGAATAATTCAAGAGCAAGATGATATCAAGAAGCTAGACAACAAATTATTCTTGTTTCCTTGTGGCTCCTCGGAATGGTCCAATTGTAATGTCTTTAGTGGTGGGCATACTATTTGATAAATAGTATTAATTATTATCATCGACATTTTAAGTTTGTGGTAATATAAAATATAATTTATGGCTTCTAGAAGCTTGCAAGGAGAGAAATAAGACAAGAGGGAAAGTCTCTATAGAGACAAAAGTCAATTTCTACTACTTATAATAGAGACAAATTTCATTCTAGGTTACTTGGCATATGGTCAAAAGTAGATATTAATTCCCTTTCTTATGAGGGCATTAATAGATGTGAGACTTAATGGGCATTCGGAAAAATATGTGAAAAATATGTGATGAATGTTTAGTACGTGAGATTGAACGTTACGATATTGAAAATTTGATGATCGGGAGTTCATTGACTTATGACTGAGTTGGTCATATAGGCGTCTAATGTTTTCAAAAGAACATAAATTTTACGTCCCATTCGAATCAGCATATTGATATTACACAACTATTATGTGATCTTAATTGCTCACTAGGAATGGGGTTACCTTTAGGTCATGGCACTTGATTGTGGATTGTTGTCAAATGGAAAGATCATTTCACTAAACGTAAGGAGAAGGCAAAACCTGTTTCTGTAGTGTACGTAAAAGTCTCAAGTTCAAGCTTACATGCTAAGTTATTTAATTTGTGTACTTGATAGCAGCCAAGGAAAATGATTAGCTAACCCACACTCCGTAAAAGGAAGAATTGATTGTCGTTGAAAAGTCCATTTCTTGATTTTTGAGTGTAATTTTTTGGGAACTGGGTTGAAATTGACACCAACTTTTAAACAGCCAAATTTCATTAATTCATTTGTAATGAACGTCTTACAAAATAAATATTTGCTCCAATTCAAGTCTATCTTATTGGAAAACGAGATCAATTCCAACAAAAAGGTATCACAGCGTTAAGTTGTTCGGAGTGGTAGAGTACACAAACTATATGTGAAGTAATATGGAGAAGTTTGATGGGTGAATTAATTTTCGCTTGTGGCAACTGGCAAATGCATGTTAATGTTGTTTTGATTCAGTTTGATTGCACAAGGATTTGAAAAAGAAATCACTATTTTCGATAAACGTGGACGGTCTGGAACTTCAAGAAAAAATATTCAAAATGTAGAGCACGTTCAGATAATTGCTCAAGTCAATAAGTGAAGATATTGATGTTGTCATTATCATTGTGTCTCTTTTCTCCATGAGAGAATGACATTCTTTGAAAATAATATGTTCATCGTGGCATGTCTTTGGCCAATACTTTAGCGCTAACGGGTCTTCAATTTTACACATGGATATTGGTTTAGCATTGATACAAAGTTTATAGTGGAATTTACGTCGATGGCTGATGAACTTCCTGGAAAGCAAAAGATAGGAGTTGCACCATAAGTTTCAACAAAGTTGTGGAGTCTAAGCACGTATACTCTTTATAGTAGAGTGTGGTACTTCTCTGTTTTGAAAATTATAAGCGTAAAAAGAGAAGTTCACCAAAATTTTGCAAGTTGGGTGACCAAAAGGGTGGAAGAAGTAGGATTGTGATGGAGGTACATTATTAGATTGGAAGAGACATGGACGAGTTCCTATTTCAAGATCTTAGACAATCCAAATTGATGCAACTTTCACACCAAATTAGTGCAATTTTCCCAACATCTTATAAAGTTATTTACATGAAATGAATAGTGTTTTTTTTCTTATTTTTTAATCCTCAATAATTATTTTATTTCTTGAATTTTAATTATAAAATATATTATTATTAATTACTAAATTAAAAAATATACTTAATTTATTTACATTTATTAATAAACGAAACAAATCATTGCAACACAAACAAAAACAAATTACATCTAAAACACAAAATTAAAAAAAAATGTATTCAATAGTTATTATTTATTACTTGATTACATTTTATTATAAATGTTAGTAAAAATAATAACAAAATTAAAATTAAAATTAAAATAAATACAAATTAAATTAAATTATTAAATAATGGAATGATAAAAAACATAGTTAGTATACTTGACCCTGGTTGTTGATCTGGACAAATCATCGGATCATCAGGTTGATGGTTCAACCAGTGGTCAACGGTTCAATGTTTGGTCATTGTAAGGTTGAATTTTAGTTAATTTTTTTTTAAAACAAAAAGACAAAATATTTATTAATTTGTTAAAAGCCTAAAACTGAACATATATATTTTTGTTACATTTAATATTTAGATACTTTAACTGTCGTAGTGGTCAAACTTTTCATTATTCACAAGGGAATACAGGTTCGAATCTTTTCCATTGCAAATGTTTATAAAATTTTCCTGCGAAATATTCGAACTCATGCTCTCCTTGTAAATAATGGAAAGCTTAACCATTGACAATGGAAGTATTTTAATACTAAATGCAACATAAATATATATGTTCAGTTTTAGGCTTTTAGCAAAGTAATAAATATATTATCTCTTTGTTTTTGTTTTTAAAAAATAAATTAAAATTCGGTTTTGCATTTACCTAGCGGTAGAACGACTAATCCGATGACTCGATGATTTCTTCGGGTCACGATCGGTCCGTATATGATAACCATGTATAATAGGACTTAAAATTTGTTATAGTACAAAATGAAGGGCAAAAATGAAAATATAAAAAACTTTACAAATTACTTCAAATGATCATTGATGCAACATTGTTCTTTGAACCAAATTGGTGTAAAGATTTGATGTAGGGCTGGAGTGATTTTTTTGCACCAATTTGATACCCTGGCTGGAGATGCCCTATATGTTTTATTGATCCCAATTTGTAAGATAGTCATTGAATGTCTTAGAGTGAGACTTGGGATCCTTTGTATATCACCTAATATAAATAATTGAGATGCGTTTGGGGATTTTGGGTGTGTGATATATTTTATATGATTGTACAAATATTTTATATAGTGAAAGATATTTATTTTTTGCAGATCGGGATTTAACCTTTGTGTTATTAATGTCCATCTATTTTGCATTTTTCATTCTTATTAAAATTTATATAATGGATGATCATGTAGACAAAATCGAGAAATCGGTCTCAATTCTCAACATATTCGAAAAAATGAAGCGAAAGAGACAAGGCTATGAGCTACTTTATTCCTATTTCTAAGCATATAACAACTCGTGTCGTACCATGTCTTCTCTAATTTAGCTAAAATATCAAAAAAATAATTAAACATATCAAGAAAAATGCATTTGCTGAAATCAGCCACAGTATCTCTCAAGGCATCACTGTCAGCATGCTGGTCTGGAAATCCATTATCAACGCCGAATTGAAGATCGTAATGGACAGCAAATGCCTCTGCTACCTCTGGAGAAAAATGACCATCCTTCCTCATTGCAAAACCGAAGTGAACGTTTGATTTCCCGCATGTGAACGGTATCGCGAACAAGTAATAAAATGATGAATAAAGTATTGTTCCCACGATGACTGAGTACTTATTATAGGATCAATTAATTTCAACCTTAATTGAATGGCAAATTTTTGTTTTATGATTTTATGCTAATTAACTACTTTAACTAACTATTCTATTGAGCAAGTTTATGAAAGTTTTAATAAAATTATGCAAGATGATTATTAAGATTTCGAATATCTCTTATTAATCTATCTTTAATGCAAATCAATATTATGAAAATATGCGCACGTTCTTGTTGATCAATGTTTATAAGTTAATTAAAAGCATATCTTGCTGTCAATTAAATATATCATCTCATGTGATCTTCCTATATCTCTATGAAAGATGGGAATATGAAAACATGCATTAAAAAAACTAAACATCTATAGGAATCGTGCAAAACATGATGGTATATCTTTATTCCCTATCAAACTTTACAATATTTGTTATAAGTGCAATATATTTTATTGTTTATCTCAGAATCAATAAAATTCACAAATCATTCTAATTACTGTCCAATTAATTGAAAAACATTAAACACAATAACAAGCATCCAAGAAATCACACATTAGACGTTAAAATATTTAATTTATATTAAAATTTTTATAATAAGGGTTCATCTATAATTTAGTAATTAAAGTTCTAACCTAGTATAGCAAAATTACAAAAAAAAAAACATATTTAAGTTGAAGGACATAACCCGGATTTTTGATAAATTGAGAAAATGAATTTTGAATCTCCTCAATATTTTCTTCATGATGCTCTATTTGTACATTCTCTTATTTAATCAAACATGAAGTTTGAATCTTCAATTGATTGAATTATTGCAATTGCTTTTCAACCCTCTCACAAAATTATGAAATTCGCCTCTTTTTGATTTTATGAATTGATGTGAATTGGAGTATATATATATTTTGGTAGAAAATCACTTCATAATTGATTTTCAAAGGAATTCCAATCGAATAAGGAAAATTGTCTTCGAGCTCACATGTTTGCCTTTTCATAACCGTCAGTATTTTGGTCATAATATTCTCTTACGATATCTGATTGAAGCGATTCAAAGTGTGATGAAGATTTCATTTAAAGGGCTACAACTTTGCTGGAAATATAATTTTTCTAATTCGAATGTTTACTATGCCAAAAATGGGTTTTAATCATCGGTTTAAAATCTGGAGTATAACTTGTACAATTGAAAATTGATTTGTGATAGTACTTTAATCATATTTCATTCTCTTTTGACTTCTAATTGCTTCAAATTGACTCCTAACAATCTTCAGGTATCGTCTTGTAGTCCAAACCAACTATTGAAATTTTTTAATTTACTCCTCATACTTTGATTTCGCCACTTTTCCTTTGTTTCTTCCAATTATTCGTCTAAACATCGAGTTTTATCTATGGAACACAA